GTGACTTATTTATTTCAATTAGGAGTATATCCTCAATATGTATCCATTTTCCTATGAATGAATCTAATTTCCCATTCTTTATGGCTGAGTAATATTCCATTTTATAGAGAAACCACTGAGATTCCACCTCACCACACAAAGAATGGCTGCTATCAAGAAATCAAACAATAACAAATGTTGGCGGGGTTGTGGAGAGAAAGGAAACCTTCTCTCTTGTTGGTGGGAGTGCAGACTGGTGCAACCACTCTGGAAATCAATATGGAGAAATCTCAAAGTGCTGGGACTAGAGGTTCTATTTGACCCAGCCATCCCTCTTCTGGGTATCTTTCCAAAAGAACTGAAAGAATCATATCACAGTGATGTATGCGCACCCATGTTTATAAGCAGCAGTCTATAATAGCTAAAACTTGGGAACAGCCCATTTACCCATCATTTGGAAACTGGGTAAAGAAAATGTGGTTTCCCCTAACTCTATTTAGACTATGGTGGAATGTGAAAAAAGAAACCACTATCTTCAAGCCAATTGCAATTCTTTGAAAGCAAAACAGGCTGTAGTTCCCCCTCTAAATATGTTGTACCTGGTGAGGGCCCATGCTGATTGCTCTAGAGCCCTTAAAGGAAAAGAAGGAAAGTAATCTGTGGCATTCCCCCCTGACCTCCCTCACCAGCACACAGGCTCAGTCCTATGCCACTCAATCTCAATGAAGAATTTTGCAGACACCAACTACAAGCTTTCAACTTTTCCTAGGGTGCATTTTCTAAGTGAATGCAGGGAATGATGACTACACAATAGGATCTTTTCCCTCTGCATTAGCTTATATGACCATTCTGTGGATAAGTGGTGGTGGGTTCCAAAATGATGATAAAAATTTTGATAAATGGCACCCAAATGGGACTTACAAGCCAAACTGAAGTTTGTCCGCTTTGGAAGTATCTCAGTCATTTTCTCTCTGCTGAGACAAAGTAGTAAATACATGCAACTTAAAGGAGAGGTTTACTTTGGTTGATAGTTTAGCTCAGGGTTGGCTTGCTCCAGGGCCGGAAGGATGGTGTAAGGGTCTGGCAGAGGAAGGCTACTGAAGGGTTGGAAACCAGGAAGCAGCGAGAGAAGGAAGGAGCGTGGGAGGTAGAGGTATGCTTCCAGCTCATCCCCCAGTGACCCACCTCCAACCAGAGCACAATTCTTAACAGCAAGCCAGCTGTAGCAGTCCCATGATCCAATCAACTGTGCCAAGCCCCACATCTGAGTGTGTGAGGCTTTGGAGGACAGTCAAGATCCAAACCACAACAGGAAGCATCTTATAGAGCATTCATATTTCTACAAACCTTCCTATTTCTTCAAGACAACCTACTTACTTTAGGTTACACTTTTCAAAATTCAGACTCTATTCAAAGCAACTTGTATATTTTAGTTATTAGTTACAGCAGTATCTTTTCCCTGTATCAAAAATGGCACTGCCATTACACATGATTACTTCCAACTACAAAAATAATTTGGAGGGGTAGGGGAAAAGAAAGATGGAAATCAAATTAACATGAGAAAAAGAAAAAATGGAAACAAAGTCTTTGAAGATAGGGAGGGGTGGAAGGGTTAAAGGGAGGGCATAGAAATGGGGAAAAAATAAGAACCAAGATGGACTATGTAAAGGTGCAAATTTCCAATGATGAATGTCACTACACTGTGTATCTTAAATGTACCAATAAAATTAATTCGTTAAAATTGGTAAACTGTAACTAGAGCAGACCACTCATACCGCAAATTCATGTTCATAGTTACAATGACAACTTTTCATACCTTTCATTGCTCTATGCACAAAATGTAGGAAATTGTTTGGCTTGATACATTCCTTTAGCTGTCCTAGAATAAAAACACCTTGGTGCATGAAATCTATTTCTCTCCCCATAGGCACGACCTTCCCCTTAATGATCAAGGATGCTAAATGCTATAGTACAGTTCAAGACATCTTATTACAGTGAAATATGCATACCCATGTTTATAATAGCACAGCTCATAATAGCTATGTCTTGGAAGTAGTCTACTGCTCCTCAACAGATGAGTGGATGAAGAAAATATGGTATTTATACACAATGTAGTACTACTCCTCCACAAAGAAAGATAAATTT